TTGAGAGAGAGAGTTTACAGAAGTTCGCGTGTCGATATTTACCTTGTATGAAATCCCAAAAGAGGACAGTTCCGGACTCAGAAAACAGAAGACACAGTTCTTAGGCGTGGAAATATCCAAAGGCGAGGAAATATCCAAGGGCAAAGAAATATCCAAAGGCGAAGCACAGGGATAACTGGAGTGGTCCGAACGAGGAACTGGTGACGACTGACTCACTTTGTTGTCGTGTCTAATGTTGAATTGTTAAAATCGCACTATTAGGTCGAAAGGTGCTGAGAAAGCGTCGTTATTACGCCTGAGAACTTAGCAGATGTTTAGCTCCCAGTTGTAAAAGTTGACAGTTATTAAACAAAAGTATAGCTGTACTGTGATCTTATGACACCGTGTTATGATGGTAGAACTACAATGTGATATTATGATGAGATGATATAAACACATCCGAATTCGGAATCTCACATTGGTCATCCAGTTAGCCGTTGCTCAATTGTTGTGTACCCATCTTCAAACTAGAAAAATCAATTTTAAAACATTTTGAAAGTATGCTTATCAATTAAAAATTCAAACATTTTATTTATATAAATCTTTGTATTTATCAATGTAGCACACACTAACTGGTCATGGAGGAAAAGTAATGGCTGCTAAATTTCTTGGTGAATCCAGTAATAAATATGTAAAACATTTTATTTATATAAAACTTTGTATTTATCAATGTAGCACACACTAACTGGTCATGGAGGAAAAGTAATGGCTGCTAAATTTCTTGGTGAATCCAGTAAAGTTGTATCAGGTAGCCATGATCGTACTCTAAAGATTTGGGATCTTCGTAGCAGAGCATGTAAGGAACTTTTAAACTTATTAAAATATTTATATATAAATAAGTACAGGTATTCCTTACATAATACAGTAGTTAGGATCTTATAAAATCTGTTATAGTATCACTACTTGATTTTTGTAACTATCTGAAACTGAATTTTTATTAAAAACTGTGAACTGAAATTAAACATCTTACAAACTGTAATACTGATATACATCTATTAATTTTCTTCCTCTAAATCTCTGCTACTCACAATCAAATGAGAGCATTTTGGGAATAATTTGTGAGCTTCTGCAGAATATCTCTGCCTTGAAACTTACAAAACATCTAGATGCTTCAAAGTATTTTCTGTTCTTTTTAAAACATTAGTAATTTGCAGTCATATCTTTTTGTTTGTTAGATCTTTACAAATTTCATGGTATGGAATTCAGCACTTTTGAAGCTATCCTTTTGAGCTTTGTGCTCCTTTTAATCAAAAGAATCTGCATTGAAATCATGAGTCCAATTGTTCAACTAAGCTCATGTCTTCTCTCATGTTTTTTAGTGTAAAATTAGGAACCTAAGAATTTTCATTTCTGTTCTCATCCTCTAAATTGATTCGTTTTATCTTTGATGCCATTTTGTACCAAATCTACTTTACCAGTGATTATTGAACATCTTCAATAGTCATATTACTAAAATCTTTTATTTCTACCAGTTTATCAAATTCTACTATAGTTAAATAATTAAATATCAAACTCAGCTTCAATTTAAATAAAGTATTCTCAGCGATAGAAGGTGTTAAATGTTTTATTAAGTGTCCTACTATAGTATTGATTTTGTTTTCTGGCTGTTTGAACATATTATCCAAATGAATTGACTATGGCCTTACTTTTACCCATATGTCTAGGCTTTATTTTTTTAACAATAAAAATATGATTTTGATACTGTCCCTAATTGAAAATATTCCCATTCCTCTATTACTTAGGTAGATTTGGAATCAAATGTTTTTTTAAAATTAATCATAATGATTTTCTAATGTAATGAATTTTAAAAGTAGTTATAATTACAAAGTTTGCAAAAAAAAATAGGAATGTTTAAAAAAAATTATAACCAACTTAATAGCAAGCAATGTTCTGCATGTAAGCTGAAAAATATTGTGTTTATCTGTATTCTGTATGTATTTAATGTTAGAAAATGTATGTGTAATTGCTCTTAAGTAAATTAATTTAAATGTTTCAGTAGTTGCTTCATTTTTTGTTTTTATTAACATAAGAAGATAGTTTATTTAAATTTTGCTTGATTGTATTTGATTACAGGCATTCGTACAATATTTGCTGGATCCAGTTGCAATGATGTAGTTACAAGTGATGGAGCAGGAACAAATATTATTAGTGGCCATTTTGATAAACGTATACGATTCTGGGATACTCGCTCAGAATCTAATGCTAATGAAATACAATTACAAGGAAAGGTGACTTCTCTTGATCTTTCTCCAGGTAATGTATACAACTTATACTGTGTATTGTGCTCCCTACAATATACAAAATAGTTCTTTTTACTAAATATAAAAATCTGTATATCCTTATTTTTCACTTAATCTTAAAAAAATTACCTTGTTATAAAAATAACTTTGTTGCCCGGCTTTAAATTTACTGAACTAATTGTAGATTGTAGACTTTGAAATGACATTCTTGCCAAATGATTGTACCAAACAGCAATAAGATTCGACTGCTTTTATATCAAATTGGTAATTGTAAAGCGCACTGTGAATTTGGTCATGTTGGCAAACTTTATATATTTAAAAAGTTGGTATCACAATACAGAATATCTTTTCACTTATGATTGTGCACCTCAACACCCTTCATTTACATATCCCACAAGAAACTTCTATGTGGCATCTATTGGAGAAAAATTTTGAAAATTATAGAGATGTCTAGAAATTTCAGAAACTTTTGCATCAACTCAATACTTTACAAGCTTGTAAAGAGGAAAAATGAACTTTATGATAAAGCATCTCAAAAAGTTATTTTTAAAATTATGCTCAATGGAACTGAATGGATGTTCTCATTTGAACATTTAATTCAAGGTTTTGTAGTCCAAAAGTCCAGGAAAACATTTACCGTATTTACTTGAATATAAGGTGAGATTTTTATTCATTTACCACAGCTTCAAATTCCTAGGTTGTCCTATATGTGCAAGCGAAAGATTCTTTGCATTTTTGCAAATAATTTTTGTGAACTATGTATTTGCATTTTTTACTGGATGCTTACCCTCTTGTATTTTAAAACATAAGTATTTTATCTGGGTTATTTGACTTGTTCTTGTATATATTGTCAGGAGTATAGATGAATAGCAATAGGTAAAGCAAAGCTTTTGAATTGAATTCCAGATTAAAATTCCAAAATCACATGGGAGCCCAATACAAGTTTTAATCCATTCCCACATGAAAACAGATGATTATTCAGAAATTCGAATTCGGAGAAACTCTTAAGTGTAGTCGACAGAGAGTGGATTCAACTGATAAGAATTGGCCAAAAAAAATTTTCGATTGTTCAGCTTTACATGAACAAATTATGTTGTCAATTTTACAAGATTTTTCCTTAAAGTTTAAAATGCGAGTAATTTTTGTGGGACAATGTGTGCATTTACATTTATTTGATATTTTACTTGTGATTAAACAAAATAAAATTAGAATTGTATTAATAAATGTAATTTTCTGTATTTTGATCTTTAAAGTCACACCTCATCTTATATGTGAGTAAATACAGTAATCAACTGTGACTTCCACAATTTTAGTGTTTTTGTTTTTCTCCTATTAATAAGATGTATCAAGTATTATTTTTCCAATATATTTTATTAATTCTAATTATCAAAAAAGTAATTTTTTTAGAAAAATATGTTACTACCTCTTTTAACTGGAGGTCTTCTTAATATGCTCAAAAAACCAAAAATTCAGCAGTTTATAATACTAAACTGTTACTGTCTAAATAAAAACAAACATTTAAAACAACCATCTTCAGGTTTTATAAAAAATTTGAATGTGACATGTTTGTACGTACATGTTACATTCAAATGCTGAAGTTTAAATTCTTTACAATTCCATCTGATTGGGCATAATCAAATTTTTTGTAATTATCTGAAGATGGTAATTTTAAAATGACCAAAAATGTTTATTTAGACAGTAAAGTTTAGTGTTATAAACTGCTGAATTTTTCAGTATTTTAGTGTGTTTTGCAAAATATATTTTCTGTAAAATAAATAATGAAACAAAACTTTTTATTAGTCTAAAATAAGAAATTGTAGAATTTATAAAGACTGTGCCCGACATGTTGCCATTCAGTAAAAAACAGGAATACTCACTTTTCTCATGATCTGTCAGGATGATGCAAGAGGTTAGATTGTATGGGGTAGTGGTACTGGACACAGATTCACACTGACATGGATTGACAGCAATATTCATTTTTAAACAATAAAGTCATGCTTACAATAGAGAGCTATGTATGTCTGAGAAAGTGGTGGAGATGGTGTCAAACAAGTCTGGGAGGATGTTGAACCGGTGATCGAGAGGATGGAGAGCCACTAGGTGGTCTCCTGTCAGTGAGTCCTTCATCTGGGCACAAAGTAGTTGCTTGGATGAAGTTGGCTCTCCTGTCGACAGTCGGGGAAAGTCAGAGGTTCCCAGATGGTAGCCTCACCAGAAGGGATCAAGACGCTGAGGAGCACTAGGTGGTAATTTGTAGCTGTCAACTACCCTTGTCCTTGAAGACACAGGTTTTATACAGTTTTGTCCCAAAATGCCAATTTTTGGTTTGTCCAAACTGTTGGCCTTCTGCATTCCCATTGGTTCCTGAGCTGTTTCTAGTGACAATTTGTATTGTGGGGTTTGAATCATTCTCTATGTCCCCCAATACAGGCCTCTCTCCCTGAGGGTAGGATTATGTTCCTTCTCGAATAATTGTCCTGTAAATTATACAAAATGTGTTTTTCTTCTCTTTTGGAGAGAATCCATCTTTGTCCTGCATAGTCCTGGTCACACCTGCTTCCAAGGAAGTGTTTGCTTTTTTTCTTTAAACCTGGTGTAGGGTGACTGCAAAAACTTTGATCAGTATAATTCCTTTTCTCTCCTCCACAATATATGACTGGGAATGTGACAATTAAATTCTACAGCACCCAATTTCTCTGCTTCCTTAGTTCCGTGCAGAGGACTATATCATCTGTCTATTGATATTGGTTCAATGGTTTATTTCTACCTTGTTTGGTGAGGTTCTAGCCTCACAAATTTACATTTTAATTAAAGCAATGTATTACTTTTTAATTATAATTGCTAAGAATGGTGAACTTTTAAAACTTGTATCATCTTGCTCCAAAGCTGTATAAAACATGTTTTACAGTTTTTAAAGAAAAAAATATTTTTCTTACATCAGTATAATTTAATTAGGTAAAAATAAATGTAAAATGCTACTTTTAAAAATTTTTCAAATTTTAATTGTTTGATCCAAAATGAATTACAGTCGACCCCCCCCATAACGCAGTAGATACATTCCACTTTATAAGAATTTCACATTGTAGGAATCCTTAAATACATGAGCCAATCACAGCCCGGCACGTGTGCAGTTTACAGACTATGGCTGTTTGAAAGGTTTTCTTCCATAAAATTAATCGATTCTAGACTAATTCGACTCAACATTTCCAAAACACGTATAATTTTTTAGGAATAATCCGTATAAACTATGCTATAAACAAAAAATTGTAGGATCATTTACCGAGTGTGCACGGTTCAACAATGCCATTGCTTAAGCTGGTTTTCATCGCGGAGCAGCGCACTAAACGGCGAGCACATTTTCTAATAAGTTATTTTTCTGCAAAAAATTCGTTGAACTTTGGAGACATCATTAATAGAAATAATTTTTATGGCCGTTGAATAAGAAATGTTTTTTTCACAAGAAATGTATAAAATTACAGTACTGTATTAGACTTACAGTACCTAATTTATATACTGTACAGATGATAGTAAACTCAACTTACCCGCCTAAACTCTCCGTAGCGTGTAAGTAGTTCAGCTGCTCGTCCACTATTGGTTCAGATTCAACCAATCCTGTCGCGATATGAGTCGGTGATGACATTTTACTGCATTATACAAGTCTCTTTTAGCGTCTTTATACGAATAAGGTCGCAATTTTTTCGCCCTGATATACGAATCAGCATTATATGAACCCGCGTTATAGGGGGTCTACTGTAGTATAACACTTTTTAATTAATTTTGATTTTACTGAAATCAAAAATATTTGTTATATTATTAAAAAAATTAAATCAATTATTGATGAGATCATTTTTAAATTGGTAAATTTTATATTCTANTGACTTTATTATAAATAATGAAGTTAGATAGATAATCATGTTTGTTATTCTCTTTGTTTCTTTGAATATTTGTTCCATTTACTGAATACAAGATTTAAACAGTAACAGATTAACTGGAATGACTTTTTTTCCATCCATTCAAGGGTCTACTGTATTTGAATTTTAATAGTAATCTTTCATAGATATAAAATACTTTACTTATAAAATAATTTCTACTTTATTATTGTTCTATAAGATATATGTAATCAACTTGTAAATAGAATGTATTAGAATTGGAATAATAAAAGTTATTTAAAAATAAAGCAAAAGAAATGAATCACATCAATGAGTTTGTAGAACAAGATACTAATAATTTATTGCTTTAAACCAGGGGTGCCTAAACTTTTCGATTGATGGGCCAAATTATGCTAAGTCATAGATAGGTGGGCCACAAATACTTTGTATATTCTGTGTGTATCACAAATAGGCTTATTTTCATCATTTATAATGATGTATGTGCTGAATATGTTTGTGGACCAGATTAACATGTTCCTCAGGTCAGATTTAATAGGTAGCCATAATTTGGTCACCACTGTTTTAAACAAATTATGATATTAATTACAATCAAACACTATAAATAATGATGATATATAAAATATCATTAGCAAAACTTTTAGATAAGAGAGGTGAGAGGTATACTGTTTCTTTATAGAAAAATACAGTCTTGTATACAGCTTCTTACTGTTTTCAAAAAAAATTGTAATATATTTAGTTCTTACAAAATGTAACTAATATAACTATATAATATAAAGATAATATTGAAGATAATATAAAGATATATTGAAGAAAAGATATATGATAGCCTCAATATATCTTTATATTATAAACTAAACTAATTACAATTACAAATTACAAACTAATAATAATACAGACATTTCCTTTATAATATGGTAGTTAGATTCCAAAAAAGTACCATGTTATAGGAATCTGCTATAGGATACATGGGGCTAGTACAAAACATAGGGTTAGGTTCCAAAAGTTAGCAAAAGTATACTATTCTTTTTTGTAATCAAGAGAAACATGTTTATTAAAGCAATCAATAACTAACAATCAGAATCAAAAGTATTGCATAGCAATATTAATTTTTTCTTTACTGCTAAACACCATTAAATGAGGACATTTTCTTTTTGCCAAAATATTGTTGTTATCCAAGCTTTCTGTTGACTTTAATGTGAAATATCAGCAACATCTTGGTTTTTCTTTACTTTCTTTTCATAAAATCTGATATTTTCATTCCTTTATGTTTGCCTAAGAAATCTTTAAAAATTTAATCTGTAAAAACAAAACACAGCAACAGTCTTTCAGGTTCATTTAGAGCACTATCATCAATGACAACAATATCCAGTTTATAGAAAAGCTAAGGACAAAGAGGAAGAAAAATTATACAGTCAGTCCTCATTATAGAAAACTGGACAAAAAGCACAAAACAACATTGAAACTCAATATTATAAAATTATGGGCAAATATGAGACATGCATGCTTGCTTGAATAAAAAGAAAGTCCAGTGATGATGTTTGCACTTAAAAATTGTGATGTTTTATATGGGAACCATGTTAGAGCAAAACTGTGTTATAATAACACCATGTTGTACTGTACAAGGGATACCTGTAATGTTAAATAATAAATTATATAAAAATGTTTTTAAAATAGCAGAGTATGGTATGATCTTTCTATGTATATAAGTATATATATATTCAAAAAGATTGTACTGTATTTTTGTTTGTTTTAAAAGAATATAGAATATACGTGTGTATATTCTATATGTTTGTGTGTTCTATTTAGTTTTAAAGAATAAATTAATGTTATATACAAATTAGTTGCAATTATCTGCTTGTTTATCTTATAATTTATACTGTTTCTAAATTTCTTCCTGTTAGCAATTGTGAAACTATTTATTTTATATTAATAAATTTATTTATCAGAATTTATAAAAAATTTTATTTTTGAAGGAATCTTTATTATTGGGATCTTCAAATGATTTTGCAAGTCGAGTATGGACAGTTGCAGATTCTAGGCTAAGGGTATGTATATTATTTAATAAAAAGTTAGAATATAGGTATTACTGAATTATATGCTGCATTTTATAATTTTTTAATTCAAAACCTCTAACTTACATAAGAATTAAATTACACAGTTATTAAGATTAACTGTAGAATATCATCAAGAATGTTAGAAAGATCATAATTTTTAAATTTTTTGAACAACTCTTGAAAATTTATAACATATGCTGTATTAATAAAAGCAAAGGTCAAATTTAAGTTTCTGGTTATTTTATTGTATTAGCAAAATGCATTATTTTCAGTGAAATAGTGAAATAAATATCTTTTTGAATATTCATCTTTGAAAATATTGCAAGATGGCATTATAAAAATGTAATTTGAAAATAAATATTTTTTTTTAGTATCTAATTTAAAAATTTATTGAAATATTAAATTTACTAAATATTTAAAACTTTTCATTAAAATATGTATTTTCATATTACATAATATAATTTAAATGGTTTTGATGGCAAATTATTTTAATACATAATTAATAAATCTATTGTGTATAAGTAATGCTGATGAACATATGATTTTTTTTGAAATCTTTCTATGTCTATAGTCAAATAAATGTTAATATTTTGATGATAAAAAGTATTAGTTTCTACATTTGAATGTTTCTTCTTATGATTGGTAAATGTTAAGAAATAAATAATGGATGTATATTTTCACTTTTCTAAGCTATTTAATTCATCTTATTTGATGATAAAATCAAGAAAATAAATTGTGATAGGCACTGGAAGGAGTTACTTTTATATACATAAAAACCAAATCAACCTAATTGGAAAAAAAAAAACAATAGATTCTGTTAATTTCTTCTGTCATTTCAACTTAATTGTGAGGTTACTTATATATACTTCAATCATTTATTTCATGAATATCATTAAAGTGTATATATGTTACCGGCCAAACCTGATTTCAGGCCAAACTAGTTTATCCTATGCATGTCAGGATGTACTAGTTTAGCCTAGGATAATCTAGTTTGGCCTAAATACTTTAGACTTAACTAGTTTAACCTAGGTCAAACTGATTTATGTATTACAAATAGGTGCCAGTGTAAAAAAAAAATGATTTTGTGTAATTCGAAATGCCACCATAGTACACCCGGTGGTTAAAGTGTACCTAGGTAACCCCAATGGCAGTGCTTCGGTTAGGTTAGGTTAACTACATTTTTAGTAGACATTTCCTTTTTTTCTTTTGTTCAAGAACTACCGTGAATCAATAACTAGTGACGTTGAACAATGGGCGGCCTGCCAGCAGCTCCCCTCCGGGAGGAGTTTGCCGGAAGCATGAACAGTCCAAAGTGCCGCCATTGGGGTTACCTAGGTACACTTTAACCCACCCTGTAAAAAATAAATAAAATATTAAATATTTTATATGTTACACTAAGAAACACAAACAAGTTCATTTTTAATTTTAGCTTGACTTTAAAAGTTATTTTTATTATTTCGTTTGAATTTTTGAAAATATTTTCGATAGTTAATTACCTTTAAAAGTGCATGGCTTAATAAAAAAAAATACAAACTGATATAAACAACCAAAGCCTACTCAGCAGAAAATAATAATATAATCAACACCTAATCACTAGCTGAGAGATTTATTATTAAAACAACAAACATTTTCAATCCAAACAATGGATCATCATCAGGCTAAAATGGAACACTTCAAAATACAACAAGAAGTTCAAAATACAAAATATAGATATTAACCGATAACATATACGCTATTAATAGCCAAATAATGTTTGTAAATAATAAAATTAATACAAATGCTGCTAATATTAAAAATAAAATAAAATAGTCAAAAATAACAAACAAATTGTGAATACTAAATATTAATATTGCTTACTTAACTATACATAGTTTTTACTACAAATATTATTAAAGTTCCTGCTCCTATTTTAAGTTTTTAATTGCAAACTTCCAGGCGGAAGGAAGTCCTTCTGCATCTCTTGCGTTGATGCAATTTCCTTTAAGTTTGCTTCTATAAATTTCTAACTTTTCAGCCGTTCTTGCCAAAGTCGGAGAGTGTATCTGTTTCAGGATTTCCGCCTCATCCCATCATACTATAGAACCTTCCGTTTGTGCCATTTGAGCCAATACTGTGGCATTAGAACCTTTTCTAATATCATATCTGTGATCTTTTATCCTTACACCCAGGTTTCTAGTAGTAACCCCAACATAATCTTTATTTATTTATTCCTAATATCTGATTCTCATATGGGATCTTATATACGCCCAACATATCTTCCTTTTTAATCACCCCTTTATCGTGTCTAAGTATTTTGTACAAATTCAGAGCTCTTTTTAATACCATCCTTGTATTTTTTATATCTGTGATTTCTTTCATAATGCTTCCTAAGCGCTTGTTGTACGTAAATTTCGTGTATGTAGATGACCCTTGAACAACTTCTAATTTATTGATAATCCCCTTTATAACATTCCTCTTGTAGCCCAATGTTTCTGCTACCTGCATGATTCTTTCTATTTCTGCATCCATGTCTATTATATTTTCGCAGTATAAAAAAGCCCTCCCTTTTAATAATAAATCTCTCAGCGAATGATTAGGTGTTGATTATGTTATTATTTTCTGCTGAGTAGGCTTTGGTTGTTTTACTCTGTTTTATTTATTTAAAATTAGTGCAATTGTAGCCCAATCATTTAGGTGATTGTTGGATGTTTCTATATATTCATCGGGCTTTGAGATGTATGTTATAGTCATATGTATATTACTAATAATCAATAAATTCTCTTAAACCATTAAACAGGGGGAAAATATTTAAGATTTACAAAATGTACTGTANTACAGTCGACCCCCCCCCATAACGCAGTAGATACATTCCACTTTATAAGAATTTCACATTGTAGGAATCCTTAAATACATGAGCCAATCACAGCCCGGCACGTGTGCAGTTTACAGACTATGGCTGTTTGAAAGGTTTTCTTCCATAAAATTAATCGATTCTAGACTAATTCGACTCAACATTCCCAAAACATGTATAATTTTTTAGGAATAATCCGTATAAACTATGCTATAAACAAAAAATTGTAGGATCATTTACCGAGTGTGCACGGTTCAACAATGCCATTGCTTAAGCTGGTTTTCATCGCGGAGCAGCGCACTAAACGGCGAGCACATTTTCTAATAAGTTATTTTTCTGCAAAAAATTCGTTGAATTTTGGAGACATCATTAATAGAAATAATTTTTATGGCCGTTGAATAAGAAATGTTTTTTTCACAAGAAATGTATAAAATTACAGTACTGTATTAGACTTACAGTACCTAATTTATATACTGTACAGATGATAGTAAACTCAACTTACCCGCCTAAACTCTCCGTAGCGTGTAAGTAGTTCAGCTGCTCGTCCACTATTGGTTCAGATTCAACCAATCCTGTCGCGATATGAGTCGGTGATGACATTTTACTGCATTATACAAGTCTCTTTTAGCGTCTTTATACGAATAAGGTCGCAATTTTTTCGCCCTGATATACGAATCAGCATTATATGAACCCGCGTTATAGGGGGTCTACTGTAGTATAACACTTTTTAATTAATTTTGATTTTACTGAAATCAAAAATATTTGTTATATTATTAAAAAAATTAAATCAATTATTGATGAGATCATTTTTAAATTGGTAAATTTTATATTCTATCTGATAATTTAGTCTAAAAAAATTCTCTCTATATTGGAAAAAATCATAGTTGATACATCATATTATTAATAATATGTTATTGTTCATTCAAAAAACAGAGATTAAATAAAAGTAAGAAGTTATATTATTTGAGTTTCATTTAAAAATGTACTGAATTCAATAATATATTATTTTAGTATTCTTGAAGTAAATTATTAATTTAATATTTTTACAGTAAATTATTTACAGATTAATTACAACTACTTAATTACTTAATGGACTAATTGTAATTAATGTCATTTTAAAACAATTAGTTCTATTTTTTTTTCTTTTTCTTCTTTAGATGGGATGTCTCTTCTAAGTTGTGTTAGGGATGATTCTTTGAAATTACTTGATCTTCACATGAATCAAGTAATGAGGACATTTTGGTATGTTTCTCTTATTATTTTCAATATATTAGAATTAAAATATAATTAACATTATTTATTATCTATAAATTAATTGTGGGGGAAATACAACAAGAAAATATATTGAATACAGCAACAGCATAGTTTTGTCAGTATTATTTTTATCTATCACTATATTTATTTAGTGTACAGTAGTACCTCAGAATATGAATGCTTCAGCATACGAAATTTTCAGGATACAACATGAAATTTGAACATATTTTTGCTTCACGGTACGAACAAACACCATATGGCGTATTAGTTTGCAGCGCCACTGCCATGATCACATGTTCCTTCTATTCATTGGTCTGAGTCTGCGTGTTTGCTTCGTCGTGGAGGGATCTCGCTCGATAAAGGAAATCTTGAGGTATTATCATAAAGTGACTGATATTATTGAAAAGAAACATCCTGAAAAGGTTCACACTGGCAGTATTGCTGCTCAGTTTAATGACATATGCCTAAGACATTTTAGAAACATTTTAAAAAGTAGGCAAAGTCAAACCTCTTTGGATAGATATTTTACCAAGCGACCTCTATCCAGTGAAAGTGCTGGTGGAAGTGAAGGAAAAAAAGCAAAAAGCAGTGAATAAAAAATTTTTAAAAATATATAAAACAGAAAAGATAAAAAAAATTAGTGTTAAGTTATTTTTAAGTTATTGTTACATTATNTATATATTTATTTAAAGGAGTTCTTGAAAGACTTTTTAACTAAGTGCTTCCACGCAGATGGTAGACCTTAGACCTTCTGTATCTCTTGTATTAATACACGTATCTTGTAGGTTGCCCTTATAAATTTCAATCTTTTCTGCACTAATCACTAAAGTTGGGGAGTGCAAGGACTTAATATCTGCTTCATCCCATTTTACTATGGAGCCTTCAGTCTGTGCCATCTGAGATGATAATGTGGCATTGAATCCCTTATTGACATTACAGTTGACCCCCCATAACACAGTAGATACGTTCCGGTTTTTATGAAATTCATTTTCTACGAGTCCTTAAATACATGAGCCAATCACAGCCCGTCATGTATGCAGTTTACAGACTACGACCGTTTGAAAGGTTTTCTTCCATAAAATTAATCGATTCTAGACTAATTCGATTCAACATTTCCAAAATGCATATTATTTTTTGGGAATAATCCATATAAACTATGCTATAAACAAAAAATTGTAGGATTACTTACCGAATGTGCATCGTTTGATAACGCCATTGCTTACTTGCTAAAATCGCACTCACAACACAGGTAACAATAGGTCCCTCACTGTGGTTGAGTATAACCACCACCTTGACTCTATTTACAGAGAAATTGCAACATATACAAACAAAAAGATTGCTTACAAGAGACCTAATACTATATATAACCTTCTGTGTAAAGGACAAAATAGACAAAAAACTCGCTCTAGGGGATACCTCTATATCTCTTTGGGATGACAGGTTTCAACGATGTATGTTGGGTCAACGAAACAATCTTTCGACAGGCATCTACGTGAACACAAATATGATATTGATCACAACAAAGATAATACCGCCCTACCAGGTGTAAGTGCTGACCTTAACAATGCCAAACTGATCAGACTCTCAAACCGTTTTGAATACACTTATGATCTCTAGAAACCCTTGAAATATATAAGGCTGGATTACATACTAACTGCATCAATTCCAAGGATGCTGTTAATATATCTCATGCTTGGAGGTTAGGGTACGAATGCGACAACAACCCCCACAACACGGTTTAACTCGCACATCCGTTACATTATATGTGTTTATAATACACATGTATTATTGTATTTAGTATGCACGTTTACTTTCATTTGTACATTGGATGTCTGTGTCAACGTTACGTCTGCATCCATGGCAACAAACGCACACAACGGTTTTGTATGAAAGATTTGAAAATTTTTAAATGTTTAAATTGTATCATGAAACTGTTCTTAGAATCTCAGTAATTTTAAATGTGATGAAGACTGATATTTAAGGTCAAAAACGCTTGTTATCTCGATTAAATGTTTTTACTGGATAATCAAAAGTTTTAGCGAGTCATTTTTTATACAGGGTGTATCAGAATGACGTTTTAAAAATTTGGGGGATTGTAGAGGATGAAATTCTGAACGTTTTGATATAAGGAACCTATAGCCGGAAATATGATATAAAGTTTCTACAGCACTTTGCACGTTCTATGCAGTCGGTATGTTGAATGAAACAGCAAATTACAGTATTTATGACAAGTTTTATTGACAAAACAATCAAACAATCAAATAGAGTACAATCAAATTGTACATTGAATCAGTGGCTGCACTACTTTAGAGTAAATGCTCAATGTGACGACCACCAACTTTGTTACATAATGTGCAACGATGAACCGTGTTTTGTCCGACTCTCTGTAAGATACCATGCTTTCCTCTGATGGTATTAAATGCTGTAAAGATGCGCTTTGTAAGCACATGAACTGTTTCTACAGGTGTTGCGTACAGAAGGGACTTTACATAATCTCAGAGGAAGAAGTCAAGAACAATAACATGACATCAATGGACAGAAGGGTAACTACCAAAGTGAAAGGCGGTCAAGCACTTCCTACCGCTGTAGAAACTTTATATCACATTTCCGGCTATGGGTTCCTTATATCAAAACATTCAAAATTTTATCTTGTACAATCCCCCAAATTTTTAAAATGTCATTCTGATACACCCTGTATATATATTTATAGAATAATAATATAACACAAATTTTTACTACCTTTGAAAGCAGAATCTAAAAATATTTGTGATTTTATATACATTTAGTGCTGACGGTTTTAAAGTTGGATGTGATTGGACAAGAGCAAAATTTAGTCCTGATGGTCATTATGTAATAGCTGGCTCTCAAGATGGTGCTATTTATATCTGGAATACATCATCTGGAAAAATTGAAAAGGTTTTAAGAGAACATAAGTAAGACATCATTTAGTTTTTAATTGAATGAATATATTATAGTAATAATAATTTCTGCAACATAATTGTAATATTGTAGATTGCTTCAAAACTATATTATAGTGAATATTCATAGTTATAATTTATTTTAAATTAATTGGAAATTATAGTTAAATCTCTGCTTAGAGACTGCTAATGATTTCAAGCAAAAATGGTCTTTGAGAGGGGGTCACTTTAGAGAGTTTTTATTAAATCAAATAATACACCATAGACCACCCAACTACACCTTATATTGCTGAGATAATTTATTTAAACATAACTAACGTTTTCAGCCTATTTGATAGGCTTATCCTCAGCTTAAATGAGAAAATAATGGTGTTCTAAAAATAGAATATGTAAATTCAAATACAAAAATAACAGAAGATTATAACAAAATATACAAATATAAATATAGATATATATGTATAAATATAAAATAGAACAAAACTCAGATATATTATTATATATCGTGTAAATATATATATATTTATTTATTTATATATTATTTATATATTTATTTAAAGGAGTTCTTGAAAGACTTTTTAACTAAGTGCTTCCACGCAGATGGTAGACCTTAGACCTTCTGTATCTCTTGTATTAATACACGTATCTTGTAGGTTGCCCTTATAAATTTCAATCTTTTCTGCACTAATCACTAAAGTTGGGGAGTGCAAGGACTTAATATCTGCTTCATCCCATTTTACTATGGAGCCTTCAGTCTGTGCCATCTGAGATGATAATGTGGCATTGAATCCCTTATTGACATTACAGTTGACCCCCCATAACACAGTAGATACGTTCCGGTTTTTATGAAATTCATTTTCTACGAGTCCTTAAATACATGAGCCAATCACAGCCCGTCATGTATGCAGTTTACAGACTACGACCGTTTGAAAGGTTTTCTTCCATAAAATTAATCGATTCTAGACTAATTCGATTCAACATTTCCAAAATGCATATTATTTTTTGGGAATAATCCATATAAACTATGCTATAAACAAAAAATTGTAGGATTACTTACCGAATGTGCATCGTTTGATAACGCCATTGCTTAAGCTTGTTTTCGTCATGGAGCGGTGCATCGAATGGCGCTGGTGTGCTTCCTGATAAATTATTTTTCTGCGAAAACTTGCTGAACTTTGGAGACATCATTACTATAAATATAATTTTTATGGCTGTTAAATAATAAATGGCTTTAAGTAGGTCTGCTGCTCATTTAAACTCAACGGTTTGTGCAATATCCACTATTGGTCTAGATCAGGGCTTCTTAAACTATGGGTCGCAACCCCATTTGGGGTCGCGAGATTTTAATGCAAAATATTGAAAATAATTTGTGACAGTTTGAAAATGGCACGCTTTGTCTCATAGGTTTCGTGAGTTGCGCTTTGTGTCACTTCTGGTGCAGCAAGACAACGATTCAGCAACACTGTAGTGTGAACTAGTGTAGTGTTGTCGCTTTTCAGTGTATTTAGTTGTCTCTGTTCCATTGTAACACAAGAGTGAACTGTGGTAGTACACCATTATTGTTTTTGCAAATTTATATATATCTTTATTTTATATATATATATATATTTTTTTTGGGGGGGGTCGAAATAAATAACAATCATAAATGGAGTCATGAATAAAAAAAGTCTAAGAAGCCCTGGTCTAGATTCGACCAATCCTGTATTGCGACATGAGTCGGTGATGACATTTTACTGAATTATACGAGTCTCTTTTAGCGTGTTTATACGAATACAGTCGCAATTTTTTTGCAGTCATATAGAAATCCAAACCATATGAATCTGTTTTATAGGGTGGTCTACTGTAAACTGGTCTCCTTCAGTTTGATTCCCAAATTTCGTGTTGTGATACCAATATAGTTTTTCTTTATTCCTAATTGCATGTTTTCATAAGGAATTCTGTACACTTCTACTTTTCCCTCTTTATTAATGCTGTCCTTGTCATTCCTTGACCTCCCTGACTTTAGCGATGAGCACAGAAATTTATAAGGGCAAGCTACAAGATACATGCATTAATACAAGGGATGCAGAAGGTCTACGATCTGCATGGAAGCACTTAGTTAAAAAGTCTTTCAAGAACTCCTAACTTATGCCTTAATTTTACATCTTTGGTATTCTGTTTATTTACATATACAGTATATATATTTACATGATATATACTGTATAATATATCTGATTTTTGTTCTATTTTATACTTATACATTATATCTATTTATATTTGTATATTTTGTTATAATCTTCTGTTATTTTTGTATTTGGATTTACATATTCTATTTTTAGAATGCCATTATTTTTTCTCATTTAACCTGAGGATAGGCCTATCGAATAGGCCAAAAATGTTAGTTACATTTAAATAAATTGTCTTAGCAACTTAAGGTGTAGTTGGATGCTCTATTAATTATTTGCTGAGTGACTTTTCTTAATTGTTAATCTACCATAGTTTAATGATACTATATTTATTTTAATTTTGTATTATTCCAAATGAAAAAATTGAATAATGTAGCAGTATCTTTGTATAAGAGTCCTACTTTGGCAAAACTGTGGATCTGTTCTTATCAGCTTATAGCAGGGTGTGACATTGTTCTGTTTCAACCATTTTTCACTTCTTGCCAGACAAAATTTGGTCTGGTATAGATGCTCCTTTCAGTTGTAGCTTCTGATTCAAAACTGCACTTTCTAGTTCCTTTAGGGTCTCATTCAGTCCAAGGAATGTTAAGTTCCAAAACTGAGAACTGAAATGGACATACAGGTTCCTATTATTTGTTGGGAAGATTTCTTTAATACTTGATGGACATTTTAAGAAACTGTTCTTGAACTTCCAAATTTTCAACAGAATGTATTATGCCCTATGTTGAAGTCCTCCTCCTTGTGCTGAACAAATACCAAAAGGATTTCTTTCACTGAAAAGCACAGTTTAGAATCATAAGCTACAACCAGAAGGAGCATTCACACCAGGCCAAATTTTTAGGAGTCTGGCAAGAAGAAAAAATGATTGGGAGAGAACAACGTCATCCTGCTAAAAGCAGATAAGAACAGATCCATAGCTTTGATGAAGCAGCACTCTTACTCAAGGACATTGCTACATTGCATCAATGATACAGAATGTGAAAGGAGTAGAAAATATTAAATTAAGTAATTTTCAAATAACACAACACCTTAATTTGCTGAGAAAAAAAAAATTTTTTTTTTTCTCAGCAAATTAAGGTGTTGTGTTATTTGATTTATATACTAGTGCTGAGTGAGTGTACATCAATTAAATAATTTTCACTTGTTTTAAATGTGTCATTTTTTTTCAATACCTTCTTTTTCAAATTCCTGCTCTACTTTGCACAAAAGAGTTTTTAGACATGTGTTTCCTAAATTATTTACCAGTGACTTGCCTGATAAGCACTTTAAGAACTTCACTTAATTTTACAGGCAAAGGTTCTAACCATCCATTGTTAGAATCGTCCTCTGTCATTTTCTTGATTTTCCATGTCAAATTCCTCAAATACACATTCCTTGAAATCTCTATATTTTAAAAAATGATTAATATAAATCATAAAAAAACTAAATTTTTTCTTCTTATAGTGCCGTTGTTACTGCTTGTGCTTGGAATCCAACTGGAAACCACATAATTAGCTGCGACAGAGCAAAAAAAATTGTTGTATGGTCTGAATTCTAAAAGACTGTTTTATATCATTCATACCTCAAGCTGATTCATAATAGAATCAGCTTTGTGATTTTGTAAATTATTTTCTAAGTATTTATCTTTTACTTAAGTTAGTATTGTATCACAAATTTTTTATTAGTGTGTATTGTCATTTATTGTGATGTATTTTGTTGAATATCGTCTCATTAAATTGTTGCAAGGTTTAATTTTAAAAAGTGAATCATTTGTTTTGTTATAGTACTATGTTATTTAATTTTATTTTTATGTGAAATCAAAAGGTGATTACAAGATGTATAGAAAAAAAATTTTGTTATGTAAATAAGAATGCTTTATTTCTTGTAAATTTATGTAACATAAAGTTTTTCACTTTGTGAAATTATCTGTCATAAGAATAAATTGTTATTTGTAAATAGTATACAAACTATAATTGTGAATATTTGATATTGAATAAAATATATTAAATGATATTAAATATTTTTTCATTTTTGTGAGATATTTATGATTTGAATTATATTTTATTTAGAATATATAATTCATATCATACATATTCATCTGTTTACATCTTCAAAATCATATTTTACATGATTTTTGAATGTAATATATATGTGTCTAGAGTAATTTCAAGAGATGATAATGCATCTCTTGAAGTTATGTAGAATCTACATGTTGTAATTATTAATATCATCATCAGTTGTATAATGTTATCAGAATTAGCATGTTCTAAAATACACAAATTAAAATATGCTTAAAAAACTTTGTTTTATTGCAATAAGAATTTATATTATTATTATTTTCAAATAAATAGGCATTTTTAAGCCGTCTTTTTGGTCTATAGCCTCAACATGTGTCCGATAACACGTAATCATTATCAATCTTAACCAATGCTTTAAACATTAATCATTTTAACATTATTTGTTTGCAGTACAATAATTTAAATTGCTGGCATTTCTTACATCAATTTATATGCTATCTGTTAAATATAATACTGCAAAATCAGCATGCAAACAACATTAGATGAATCAGTATTAATTAAGAATAATAACTAGAATTAATAAGTCTTGAAGTTATACATTTTAAAAATTATTTTATCATTGTCCTTTTAATGTCAGAGTCAATAAAACTAAAATTTTCATTAATTGTCATAACCTATTGATAACAGAGTAAGTAATTATCACTATCAATTGTAGATAAGTTACAAAATGATTGCAATAAATGGATTTTACTGTATAAAAAATTGCTAGAATGAAATATTGTCTAATACAAAACATAAAGCATTATCGTTTTTTTATTTCTTTATACAATCGAACCTCGGTTTACAAACTTCATTCGTTCCTAAACATTGTAAGAGACTGATTTCTTCTGAAACCAAAGCAAATTTTCCATTTTACATTGTTTCAATGTAAAATGGATTAATCCATTCCTGACCCCAAAACTTTTTTTTACCTTTTTAGTTGTATTTCATGCATAAAATGCTTATAAAGGCAATATAATATTACTTTATCTATATACTGTATATACCAATATTTATTTATTTTAAAATTACTTATAAATGATTTTTTCATACAGTACTCAAATTTTGTATGGATTGGACAAAGGGTTTAGGAGTTAATAAGAGAGATGGAATTGAGAGGGGTAAGGAGTCCATGTTTTATGATACCTAATGGTCACGGACAGGTGAACTTTGCACTTGCCAGGCAATAGAGATGATCCTTGTACCGTACTTATCAACATGGAGAGGTGATCCAAGAATAAAACTGATGCCAATGACAATGCTAAGTGGATAAAACCACTGAACACTGGTAGTTGGTTGTGAGTTCAGCCAACAGGCTGGCTAAGTGTAGTTTTCCAAGTTTTCTTCATGTTATTAAAACTCTATTTCCTTCTGCACACTTTTATGCAACGAGGCTCATTGTCTTTACACAACACAAATGGCACACCCTCCTGACCAAAAGGAAAATGACGGACGTGTATTCAATTTTCTTTAAACATGATGTCGCTACAGCCATTCTATGCAGTATATTCCAGCTCATTGAGCACGATATAATCCAGTGGTTGTTTTGCTTTACAAATTTCTTGGATTTCGTGGTGTTTGTTTATGTATATACGCAGAAGTATTTTAGAAATACAATTTTTCTAATAATTCTCTAATGTAGTGGCCAAAAGTTTTCGTTACTTATTGTTTGTTGATTAAAAAATTAACAAAAAATGTAATTATTTACAAATTTTATTAAGTTATTAATAATTTGTAGCTCTTCTTGTATTTTCTATAATAGATACTATTTGATTTGTAAAGAATAACCTAAAATTGAAAAACTTAAAATATTCCAAATTACCAGTTTTGAATTTTTGCTATCAGCGAAACGGCACTACGCTCTTCCAATCTCTACAGATTGAAGAGCGTAGTGCCGTTTATGGTTTTCTTTACAATATTTCTATATTATTTAATAATGACAATGAACAAGGGTGGCCTTACGAATGGATTTAGATTCCCTTCAGTGCATTTTCCTCCGTGCCAAATCTAAATCCATGCAATGGCTTTAGATTTAGCACCAAGGAATGGTGATAATCGGGATATAAAGGTGGCAATTTATACTGCTGTATTAAGATTTAGATGGAACCACCAAGCGCGGATCCAAACTTGCACCATCCCTGGTGATCTCTACCCTTGTAGCCATCAACAGTAACACGACTACCGGGAACAATGCCAGAGGTGGTGTCAGCCGCCTGGGGTGGAGGAAAATTTCGATCCCCTTATTTAGGTACGGTAGAGCGTCGTTTATCCGAATCAATTGGGGACTCGGGTTGTTCGGATAACCAATTATGTACGAAAAAATATATTAATTTATCACGTGTTGAAATTTTTCTCTGTTGCGTGTCTCTTCGCGTTGAATTTTCGTCGATGTTAAGCCTAACGAAGACTTTTGTATCGTTAAAAATTATTTTTTTATTTTGTACAAACAAAATAAATATATTGAAAAATATAAAAACAATAAAAAAATTATACTTCAGAAGTTAATTTAGTATCAAAAACGTAAAATATTTGAGTAGCCGAAGACATAGCCAAACATTACAGCGCCACAGCACTGGCGAAAATTTAAATTTGTCGACTGGAATTCCTTCGGATAACCGACGTTTCGGATAAACGACGCTCTACTGTATTTCAATTTAAAAGACCAAAATTCAGTTTTGTCACAGAAGAAGCAATGAAAAATTCGGTGGTAATGCAGCGACCTGTTTAAAATAGTTCTATTGGATACTAGTAGTGTATATGAACGCGAATGGTTCGTACAAGCAAAAAAAAAAGGTCAACAGGTTTCGCAGGAACTCCTCGGATAAAAAAGTTACTAGTTCACCCGGCGAGCCGATTCCCGGACTGTCCGGACGATAGCACTATCGTAGGCCCGATGCAAATGTAGGTTAGGATGTTTCAAAATTTTACAAGATATTATTATTATTTATTGTGAAATTTTACCGCCTCTTAAAAAGTGCTGCCCGGGGCGGACCGCCCCTACCGCCCCCCTACAGTACACCACTGCGCCAGGCAGTCCCAAAAACATAGCCATCGCGGCCTGACCCAAAAGCCAGGCTAGGCATATGTTCCACGATCCCCGGCCTGCTCTAAACACGAAGTTTGGAACCAGATATACTGCACTTTGATCTTAGCCATGAGGTCGAAAAGCGATTTATATTACGAAATTTAAATATTTTATGCTTATGATGCATTGATATAACTATTACAGCGACTCCATTACAATGTTTTAAATATGCTGTCTGAATGAACCTCAGGTTTCTTCCAGAATCTAACTATCGTCAATTGAACACAAAATATGTGAAAAATTAGATTTTGACGTTATAATTAAAGATTTCGCATAAATCAGAGCACGGAAAATAAATTATGATAGTTTTTTAATTAATAATACTTTTCTTAATTTTTATCTCTGGAATTTTTAAAACTAATATTTTAAATTATATAACCTATGCAGTTTTAAGTTTTAAGGGTTTAGGAGTTAATAAGAGAGATGGAATTGAGAGGGGTAAGGAGTCCATGTTTTATGATACCTAATGGTCACGGACAGGTGAACTTTGCACTTGCCAGGCAATAGAGATGATCCTTGTACCGTACTTATCAACATGGAGAGGTGATCCAAGAATAAAACTGATGCCAATGACAATGCTAAGTGGATAAAACCACTGAACACTGGTAGTTGGTTGTGAGTTCAGCCAACAGGCTGGCTAAGTGTAGTTTTCCAAGTTTTCTTCATGTTATTAAAACTCTATTTCCTTCTGCACACTTTTATGCAACGAGGCTCATTGTCTTTACACAACACAAATGGCACACCCTCCTGACCAAAAGGAAAATGACGGACGTGTATTCAATTTTCTTTAAACATGATGTCGCTACAGCCATTCTATGCAGTATATTCCAGCTCATTGAGCACGATATAATCCAGTGGTTGTTTTGCTTTACAAATTTCTTGGATTTCGTGGTGTTTGTTTATGTATATACGCAGAAGTATTTTAGAAATACAATTTTTCTAATAATTCTCTAATGTAGTGGCCAAAAGTTTTCGTTACTTATTGTTTGTTGATTAAAAAATTAACAAAAAATGTAATTATTTACAAATTTTATTAAGTTATTAATAATTTGTAGCTCTTCTTGTATTTTCTATAATAGATACTATTTGATTTGTAAAGAATAACCTAAAATTGAAAAACTTAAAATATTCCAAATTACCAGTTTTGAATTTTTGCTATCAGCGAAACGGCACTACGCTCTTCCAATCTCTACAGATTGAAGAGCGTAGTGCCGTTTATGGTTTTCTTTACAATATTTCTATATTATTTAATAATGACAATGAACAAGGGTGGCCTTACGAATGGATTTAGATTCCCTTCAGTGCATTTTCCTCCGTGCCAAATCTAAATCCATGCAATGGCTTTAGATTTAGCACCAAGGAATGGTGATAATCGGGATATAAAGGTGGCAATTTATACTGCTGTATTAAGATTTAGATGGAACCACCAAGCGCGGATCCAAACTTGCACCATCCCTGGTGATCTCTACCCTTGTAGCCATCAACAGTAACACGACTACCGGGAACAATGCCAGAGGTGGTGTCAGCCGCCTGGGGTGGAGGAAAATTTCGATCCCCTTATTTAGGTACGGTAGAGCGTCGTTTATCCGAATCAATTGGGGACTCGGGTTGTTCGGATAACCAATTATGTACGAAAAAATATATTAATTTATCACGTGTTGAAATTTTTCTCCGTTGCGTGTCNAAATTATTATAGTCATATTACGCTTGGCGATATTTTGGCTATTATTTGAAATAGGTCAGTTTTCATTTTTATATTGTGCGTGGAGTCGTTCTCGTCCTTTGCGTGTTTTATGAGTAATTTTGTGATTTAAAAGTGTCGAACAGCATGAGTTCCAAAGAATCAAAAGCGGGAAGTTCTCTGACATACGAATCAATTAAAGTAATTGCAGAATCGATGGGAATTGGTAACTTGTCCGACGACGGAGCGAAGATGTTAGCAGAAGACATTACATACCGACTGAAAATGATTGTGCAGGTAAATATGAACTAAATAGAGATCTACTTCCATAACTGCAATATTTCATTATATAACAGTTAATAAATCAATAAATGTTAAGTATTTACTATATTTAGACAATATAAAGCGTGTTACGTTGATTGATTTAAATAAAACACGTTGTCTGTTACTTTGATCTTCTTTTCTGTTTTTTACTTTATATGTGCTGTCATTTTGCTAAAATATCAATAAAAAGTCGAGAAGATTGCTTAAGAGAAGAGAACTAATCACACAGGAACACAATTGGGATAGACATATAGTGTTTATTTTATTGTAAAAGAAAGGCATTTCATACTACATCCCTCATCAGTCTAGTTAAAAACATTGCAGATTTTAGGTTACAATTATAAATATACATAAAATGTAATGAACGTAATGTTATCCGTACAGCAGAAGTTACGTACATTGTAGTTATAATAGTGATAACTGGATTCTAATAACTATAAAGTAATTAAATTGTAAATTAAGTAAACAGGAATTAAGTTACACAATAAATAGATGGTCACTACTCAGAGAAAAAGTCCCTAAAATGTATTGAGCAAATTTTGGGACAATAAAATTGGTCATGTTGGCAGTGAAGCCAACCAGTGGCCAAGTGGTTCCATTCCCTGAACACTGGGAGTTTGATTATGAGTTTGCATCTTGCCGAGACAGGCTGGCCACATAGAGTTTTCTGGATTTTCTTCACATCTGTAATGCCTAAATAGGGGCCAGTTATCTTTAAAAAGATCCCAGAAGGCATTCTCCCAGGCAGATTGCCCAGGTGTTGCATTACCATAACTTAATAAAACAAATACGTTGGTAGTGTATTTGTAAACTTTTGTACACATGTTAATTGCCAAAATTTCTTACATCTTTGATCTTACTTAAATATTTTGTTGATTTTTCTTGTTTTTAAAATAAATGAAATATACTATTATTTAATTATCATCTTAATATTTGTTAATTTCTTTATGTATATATTCTACGCTCTAGAACAGTGTTTCTCAACCTCTAACAAATCGTCGACCCCTTCAATAAACCGTTACGTAGTATCGGCCCCTTCACTACAAAATTCCGATGCTGAGGGACAAGGCTAATGCCAAATTTGTACTGCATTGAATAGACTAGTGACTAGTAATGTTGTTTGTTTAATTATTGTATGATATAACAAATAAAATATCTAATTATTCTTAATATAATGTTTTACTATATCACCCAGAAAATTGTTTTTCACCCCCAAAATATAAATTGTTACTAATCGCCCCCTCAACATGGAAAAATGCCCACATGGGGGCGGTATTCGCTCCTGTTGAGAAACACTGCTCTAGAACCTTCATAACACAGTAACATAAACTTTAATGACTACTAAAGTTTTCAACCAAAATTTCGGTCTTCCTCAGGTTTGTAACCAGTGAAATTCAAAAATGGAACATAGAACAATATGTTTAAAAAATTATTTCAAAAGACATGGAACAATTTACATGTGCATAGAAGATATTTAATTGTATATGTTAACATAGCAATAGAAATATTCCACTTCCTAAACAATAAATAGTAAGATATAACCAATGAACCATAACAAGAATGCTAAATGCTAGTGTTGCCTGCTCCTTTCATAACATTACTTCCATGCATAGGAAACCTCATCAGCATCTTTTGTGTTAATATAGTTGCTGGTCAAGCTGGCTTTGTAGATTTCCAATGTCTCCAGGTTTCACAAGTGTTCAATTTGATGAGATCTTCCAATCAACTTGGCTTTATGGAGGTCTGCTTGTATGTCGGGGTCCGTAGCAATTAGAGCAAAAGGTTTACTTACAATTTTTGTCATTTTCTGACTGATATTTAGTAAAATAATTTACATTAAAAGTTTTTTGACTCCTAGAAGGAAATATATGTAAATATTTATTTGCTAGTGTAAAGTGTAATTGCTATTTTTAATTTACTGTTTAAATTTTGTTAGGATAATTAGCAAAATTAAATCAATACAAATGTTTATACATTATTGGACCAAATATCTGGCTTCCAGAAATTTGGAATTACCAGAAAACTGGCTAGTTTTGAATTTGACATGTGTAACTGTAGTTTGCAGTATAGTCATTTGTGTTTTGGTTTTCATGGTGTACACATTGCACACCAGTTCCAATGTGACTGTTGAGATACAGTTTTTCACTTTTCTTTATATTGTTTATTTTATATTTTAAGTATATATTTAACCTGTGTCCAGAAAAGTTAGAAATCTTCTCCACTTTAAGATCTAAGCTTGCTGGATATTTGATCCAGTGTCTTATATAGATAATATCTGAAAATTATGGTTATCAAATTATAAATACAAAATTTCACTTAAGAATCTTTTTGTAATATACAAAATTTATTACTGAAATTTTTCATAGATTATTAAAAGTTCAATTTTCTAGAAACAATTATATTTCTTTGATATTTTTTAATTTTCTAATAAATTTAGATCCAATGTTCAATTTTATGAAAATATATTCATATGAAATGTAGATAATGATTTCTTAATCATTTAAGCCTGATGATTAAATACATTAGTTATTAGTAAGTTCTTTTTAAAATGCATTTTGATGATACATCTTAACTGTAACCCTTTTAATTGATCCATTATATTTAGACTGTGCAAAATTGATCTCTATCAGTTAAGTTGTAATTTAGGAAAACCGGTGTAATGTGCTTGTAATTGAGAGTATATCTGTTCTTCTGTTCACACTGTGTTAGATACTACTTCTCACTGCATTTCTATGTATGAGAAACTTCTACATTACTAAATATGAGAAACAGTAATACAGAAAATTATTAAATAGTGAAAAAATTCATCCTGATTTATTTAATGTTTTTTTTTTTTTTGCTTGTAAGTAGATATTTTGAGAAATAGATAATATGCTATGTTAATAGTAACATAGAATAATAAGTTATTAATAATTATATTTTAATTTTTAGGATGCACAGAAATTTATGGGCCATGCAAAACGCCGTAAATTAACTACTGGAGACTATGACCATGCATTGAAAGTAAAAAATGTAGAGGTAAATTTCAAAAATGTTAGGTTACTAGGAAAAAATAATAGCTTTTGCAAAAGTTTTGTTTAAAACTTTTAGTGACATTTTGCTAAACTTTTCTTATAAAGAAAAGTTTAGCAAAATGTTGATAAAGGTTTTAAGCAGAATTGATAAGAATTCATCCGTTTTTATTAAATTTTATATGAATTACTAAAACTATAAATTAAATGTATAATTTTTATTTTACTAATGAAGTATGAATTACAGGCTATTTTATGATCCTGTTGAATTAGTTTGGAATTTTTGCATAGATCTGATGTAATTTATAACATACTTCAACATATTCAAAATTAGAATTTCTAGTCATAAGAAATACTTAGAACTAAAACTATTTAGAGTCTATTATTTGGAGGTGAAACTGAAACTATTATAACATATTATTAGTTTCAGTTTCACTTTGATGACAGAAATAGCACATTTTACAAAGTATTTAAATTTTTGCTCACTAGAACAGTGCTAAGCTGCAGAATTGGTATTGCTCGTTTCCCAGCTTGATTTCCTGTTACATTTTTTAGTGTGGAAGACAATGAGGAACAATTCAATAATAAATTTAGATTAATTATAAATATTTAAAATTAAGTTTCAAATTTAAGAATCACATTCTAACTTGCATATTTTATATAAAGTTTTAATTTTTTTCTGTTACAATATTTTGATTATTATTGTTTAGAGCAACCCCTTTCGAATGTAGGCTGCAAGGGAACTTTGTAAGTTTCCAGCATACCATATGCATCTTTTATTTTGGTATTGTAGGCTTTAAGTCTGTTGAGTATCAATACACTATATAACTGCTAATAAACTAGGTACTAAAATAATATATACTAACTTTCTTACCCGTCGCACATTGCTGCGATCTCAGAAGAAAGGAAATTCAAGCAAACTTGTTATGATAAAATTCAATTTACATTTTATTATTTTTATTGAAACTTATTATTATTATTAATTTTCATCGGGAAAACATTTCAAAGTGTCGTTTCAATTCTATTTATTTATTGGAGTGTTTGTGGATACACGATATTTTTTGTTTTTCCGTCTGGTGCGTACACGAATAAATCGGAAGGTTTTTCGACGCGTGAGCCGGCCACATACAGTTGTCCATGCGAGAAGCACGGATTCTCCAAATTTAGCCCACACACTCGCTGCGATTGTCAGAAGCGCGATATTCCCCATTTTTATATATATTTTTAAATCCTTTATAATTTTAATTATTTAATTGCTCCTTCCTCTCTTCCTTGGCATGTTGTGAAATTTCTGATAGTTGGATAATAAACCGTTTTATTGTAATTTGTCTTTTTAAATTATTAGATGATATTAAAATTTGGAAAAGGGGATCCCTAGATCGGTAAAATAGGCGAATTTCCTTCTACAACTTCGGTTGTTGTTCGGTATACAGTTAAAGTTTTAACAAAGTTCGAGCGAATACGTAATTAGCAAAAAAAAGTTGAAATAAAGTGATTAAACAAACATTATTACGAATATCGTAAATAACAGTTCACAAATGCATATATAGAAATATTTTTTGAAGGGGGAAATGGTCTTCACAATTTGAAATCAATCGGACACACTGTGCTCGAATGCTCGTGTAAACGCGCGCCATCTATCGTAGGATATATGTACTATGCCAAAAACCTTCGCCGGAGTATATTAAACAACTTCCCAAAGTTTCACGGCAATCGGATAAACGGTGTGGTAATGCATGAAGGACAGACACACACACACACACACACATACATTCATTTTTATATATATAGATGATATGTTAACTAGTGATACAGTTTATTCTCATCTTTTCATGAGTCAAGTTTAGTTTTAATTTTCTTTATTGTGAATATCAATTTAATTAGGGCTGTATAATGACACAAGAGAGAAAACAGAAAAATAAAATTGTTGTCAAATCCCAGGGCTGCATATTATGGTGGGTGGGCCAGGGGCTACTCATAACTGCTTTAGAGTCTTCTTTTTAATTACAAGAATACAAATATCTTAAATTTGTTAATAACAATTTATTAAAAAAAGTTAGTCACAACCATACAAGTAGATAAATTAAGAAAAATAGCACATCCTGTAAGTCTGTATCAAGTAGACGTAGCACTGTTAAATCTATGATATTTAATTCTGAATGTTTTCAAAAATAAAATTGAAAATTTATTTAACTTGGTTATTTTACTATTATAAACTTAATTTTTTTTTAAATTCATGAACCAAGTACATTCCAGTTTGATTATATTTTGTATCTAATTTGAAAATCATTAATATATAATACCTATAATATATTGATTAATAATTAATGTAAGTAACAGATCTATCTATAAATAGTGTAATCAATTTAAATCAAAATAGTTTTTTTAAAAAAATTCACAAAAATAATTTAAGAAACAAAAAGTCTATTTTTTGTCCATGTCACACTTCAGAAATAAAACAATCTTATGATGGAGTTGACTTTTTATTGTAAGCTTTTGCCTCAATGTGTAAAACATGTAAAATAAATTTTCCTTTGGCAATGGAATAACCATAAGAATATATACAGTAAAACCTGTATAAACTGGAATTGCATAATACTGAATATTATTTTATGATTTGGTAGGTTTTCATTTTCGATGGTTTTTTAACAGAGAAAATTTTTCTGTTCCAAAGAATGTTTTCTATCTATTTTATTCAGGTTCCATTTGGACAGGCTTTACTGTATTAATATTATTAGGCTGTAATTTCCAAATTGAAGACTTATAAATTCCCACTGGTGTTCATATGTCTTTGTGTCTTTCCTTAATCTTGCAAACGGAGATAGATGAAAGTAGAGACCAGGTATCAAAATAATCAAAAGCTTAGAGACAGGAGCCTCAGTTAACTATATATGAACTTCTGCTTTGCACTGTAAGTCACACTATTTCAATTTAAAAATTTTCTCCAGAATGGAGTTAGGTAAATAATGACTGGCATAACTCTACTGTTATCAGAAAAAGTGTGATGTATAGGGCAAGGCACTACTAAAATGGAGAGCACATTTTAAATTAAATAAATAAAAATATGATTAAAAATTACAGCCCAGCATCGTGACAATGTCACAATAAATAATTGCTTATATTAATATATATTTTTATATTTATGCCATTGCCAAAGATAAATTTATTTTACATGTTTAACATATTGAGGCAGACAAGAGCTTTCAATGAAAGGTCCACCCTGCTATGAGACTGTTTTATTCCCAATGTGTGACATGATAAAAAATGAAATCTTTTAGTGTTTCTTTAATTACTTTTGTGTATTTTTTAAAATATAATAGTTGTCCTGGCTATTTTCTTAGTATTGAAATAGGTTGAATGCAAAAGCAGACATGCAAATTCAGCTGTTTTATATTAAGTCATATTTAATGAACTTTGCAAAAATGTTAAACGAATTCACTCTTTACATTAAATGTATAAAAAAAAATGTTATGTAAAATATTTTTTAATAAATATTTTATCAAGTAATGATTTCATTTTCTTTATAAAACAGCAACTGCACACCGGGTTGTGTAAAAATAAATAAGACCTATTTGAACCTTTAACCGATGTGTGTAAGACCTACTTGAACCTTTAACCTTTATTTCATTTTCTGTATTAGTTGTCAAATTACTTAGAATTAAAATTAAGTGAATTAGTAAATGCATATTTATGTAACGTTTTAGTGTTTTAAATTAGAATACAGTAAATAAAGAGATAAAAGCACTTTAGTTTTACAATAATGATTGAGAAAAAATGCTCTGGAGCTAAAAAGTTTGAGAACTGCTGTATTAGATTAGAGTTACAGTAAAACCTTGTTAAGTTGAAGTTTAAGCAGTAAAAAAATCCTGCTTTTGAGCTATGAGTCATGAGTTGACAAGTTTAATACCCAATTTTTTCAAATTTTTTGCAAGTATGTAGTATATAATTTTATTGAAGGTGTTGGCGCCTCAAGCACCACCGTATTTTTGTAGTAAAAAAAATAATAATAATTTTAAAATTGGAGATGATAGTATCCTAGTAATGGCTATTTTTTTGTACCAATGTCTCATTCTGCATTAAACTTTTTTTTTGCAAAATCACAAGTACTTTCATACTTTTTACAGTCCATTAAAGATTGGCAGACATCTGGTCCATCGAGGCGGATCAAGAAAAAAAGAGAGACAACTTTGCAAGCAAATAAGATTGGGTTTAAAACTTCATTAAATCACCTATCCAAGATAGGAGGAATTTATCTGTCCGTTATATGTGGTAGACAGTTTAAAATGGATCAACCTGAGAAATCAAAGAAAAAACGCACTTCGATAAGAGCTAGTGTGATTAAATTAATTAGTAAAGTCGATAGTCTAGTTGAAAGCAATGATAGAGAGACAGAAACTCTTCTAGAAATACTGGATCAGTTGAGTCGAAACGAAGAGTCATTGAGAACCTTAAACAGGGAAATTGGGGTTTCATTACTAGCCCAACTGATTATGACACTGAGATAGTCAATAGTGAAGAATGTGAGGACAAAATTATAACTTGTAAATTTAAGATCCAGTCACATATTAAACGATTAAAAGCAGACACGTCCGTGGCCATGGTGACTTTGCCCTATAGTTCAAAATAACTCTGCTAATATTAAATTGCTGGAGATTCCCCTACTGAAATTTCTGGAAGACATGAAGAATGGAGTAACTTTAAAATGCAATTTGATAATATCATTTCCTCAAGCAAACAACTATTGGTAGAACAGAAACTACATTATTTGAAGGCTGCCCTCATAGAGAATGCTAAGAATTTAGAAACATTAAACGATTTGTTTGCCTCATTGTTTCAAGTGCTACAAGAAAGGTATGAAAACAATAAATTAATAGTAGAAACCCATGTTAATGCAATTCTGGACTCTGTAAAACTAGCTTATGAGTCAGCAATGGGTTTGAGGAGTTTAATTGATAGCATCAATAGGAATATGCAAGCTTTAATACCCCGTTCGCACCGAGCATTTCG